TCCTGCCTGAAAGCCAGAGAAGACTTGTCCTAACTGGCTGCCTCTGCAGGAGACCACGTGCTGAGGCACCTTTCCCCACTCTCCTCCTCAGCGAGTTGTTTCAGCAGCTCTTTTGTCCTCTCCTCCTGCTTCCTGCAACAGCATCTCTCCAAAATCGGTTGGTCTTACCCGCTTCTGTCCCTCTTTGCGTATGTCCCTCCCCTGAGGTACTGGTGATATCTCCCTTCTCCTGGAAGATGCTCGGGCCTCTTCAAGGCCTCTGTCTGCTTTGCATCAGACCATCCTGTCCTGCTTCATCTGTGTTCTCCTGGTGTTGAGACTCTCTGCAGCAAGCGTGGTTTTGCATACAATGCCAGATACATCTGTGCTGCTACATGAAAACAGCCTGGTTCAGGTGGGTACGATGGGACTGAAGACACACGGGGAACCTCCCAACGTGTCTAACACCCATAGTGGATGGGGAACCTCCCAACGAAGCCATGAGGAGCAGCTTTCTTGCCGCTTAGAACGGCTTCAGCAGCCTGACTCAGAGATGAAATCTGCTCTGTTTGGGAGGGAATGAGCTTGGGTTTTCCCATCATTGCTAGATGGAGACCAGCCCATGCTAAGCATCCTGGAAACGAGAAAATTAATCTCAGAAGAGGCTGTTGGCCCAAATTCCAAACCTATTGGGCATTGAACAAATGTACCCTCTTATCAAAAGCAAATGAAAGTGCAGAAGGTGTTTCTGGCCTAATCCCGTGTTTAACTTGGCAGTCTGTGGTGTGTGAGTACAGGCATATTGTGGCATGCATGCAGGCTCTCGGTGCTCTCTGTCTTCTGCTGGGGTCGTGCTGCTGAGCAGCCCTTTAATTCTGCTCCTTTCTTTCAGGATCAGTCCATAATGCCTGAAGTGCGAGACCTCTCGGATGCCTTGCCCGACTTGCCGATGGATCCCATCACAGGTGTTGGTGTGGTGGCATCCCGGAACCGAGCACCGACAGGTTATGATGTAGTAAGTAAAGCTATTTCAGCTGCCGTGGCTAATGCTTTGGTTCTGCACTAATGAGGTTTTACTTTGCTGGGAACAGCATCTCTCCCAGAGAGGGTTTGCCTTCAGACCTCTGCTTTAAGAAGTAATTTCATATCCAGCTGCCCACCTCAGCCCACAGCACTTGGTGCTTTCCCTCAGTGGAGTTTCGTGGGTACAATCATGCTGCTTCATCTGTGCCACTCCAGAGGAGCGTAATTACCTGGAGGAGGGGTTTTCAGAAGCAGCTGGCCACTGTGGCATGCAAATTTAATAATCCTAGTAACATTCATCCTGAAGGAGTCCTAAGTATTGCAGAAATTATATCTCTGAATAAATGGATCCCGCATCAGCTGTTTAATCCCCCATATCAGTGCTGAGCAATGATGATGAGAAGCTCCAGAATGGGAAGCAAAGAGTTTCGCATCCAGCTGAAATTGCAAGGCTGATTTTGATGGACAGAATGAAAACCTCTAAACTAAGCTTTGGCAGGAGGCTGGGCAGCAGGAAAAGGCAGCTGGGTACAGCAGAGATGAATTTGTGAATTGATAAAGGGAGGTCACTCTTTAACAGTCACTTGTTCCTTGGATTAGTTGCTGTGTAACCAACAGCATAATTTTTCTCCCCATAGATTAGTGTCCCAAACAGTGGAATGTCATAAAATAAGGACATTGCAGAGCTCTATATAGAAAGATTTGGCCCATAGTCCATCTGCTCACCTTTCTATGCTCCAACTGTGCTACATCACACCTTGGGTTTCCAGGGTCACACAGCTTGTGTGGTCAGGAGTGGAAACCAGTAGACTTGAGGCTTTGCTCGCACCTTTTCAGCTCTGGATCGTTGCATACCCTGTTTGGTGTGAGAAGGAAGAAAATGGATCAGGCTGAAGGAAGGACACAAGGGAGGGAATTGTGAAAAGGCTCCTTAAAGACCTCGAAGGTTTTTGCATTTACTGCATTTTTTGAGTGCTGATTACCTGTGTGAGGCAGGCTGTGTAATTAGCTGCTTGCCCTGATAAAGGAGCATGGGACAGCCTGAGAGTTGTGATAACAGAATTGCATTCTGCCTAAATGACTGGGCAGAGAGAGCGCTCACCCCAGATAGCCTGTCTGTGGTTTAATAGGGAGCTTCAGCGCTAGCGCAGTTTAAACTAAACAAGATAAAAGAGTCTTCCTGTGGCTTAATCCAATTACCTCGGTGTTGTAATAATGCTTGTGAATGTGGGTCGCTCTCTCCTAGGGGGCACAGAGAGGAGGCTGCCTTTCCTCTGCTTCTTCTGCCTCCTGTTTGCAGGGAGCTCTTCCCTGGCCCTGGGGCCAGCAGTCCCTGCTGCAGGCCCTGGGGAAGCGCCTGCTGTCTCCAGCGGCCTTGCCCTACACGTGGCTTCCACACGCTTCCTCCCGCAGCCTCGTGTGTGTAGAGTCATCAGTCTGGCTCTCTGCCTGGGTGCTGTGAGCCACAGTTGGTGACCAAGACGTGGGCAGCGTGTGGAGCTGGGCAGTCTCAGGCTCTACGTTCCTCCAGATATGCAATTTCCCTGATGAGACACTGGCAGTTAGTTGTTGCTTCGGGCTGTAAAGCCTTGATGAATGCAGCTGTAGCAGCTCCATCCTAGGACCATGCTCCCTAAAGCCCTAGTAGTTAGAGATTGACACTGCACCCTGAAAACGAGAACCACTCTCATCTCTTGGGAAGTGTGAACACCAGTTTATCCTGGGATGATGTTGTAGTCCTCTTGGGGATCTGATCGCTCTGCTGTTTGCTACAGCAGCATTCAGTTCCACGGGTGGATTCAGGTCGTGTGGGAAAGTATTTCCTCTTGTTAGTGATGAATTTGACATCGTGTGTTTTCACTGATGGTTTTGAGTTTTCTGATGGTGAAGTACCCAGTTCTCTCTTTCTGAGACAGCTTTGTTATTTATAGGCTTTACCCAGTTTCACTTTCATTCATGTCCTTTCTCCAATAAACAACCGCTGCCATGTTCTTTTCTTTCCTTTTCACTTTGCTCCTCTTTAAAACCAAGCGAGGGCGTGGGTGTTTTCAGCCCAGGTGCAAGTTAAATGCCCTGGGGATGTCCCGGTTGGTTTCCCAGGTTTGTGTGGAGCCCTGTGGTTCAGCGTGCCACCCAGCTGGAGGCTGTGGTGCAGCAGAGCCCAGGGTACCAGATCTGAGGGGATCTTGGTGAATGGGTCAGAGATCTTTTTCCCTCAGCAGTTTTTTAATTACTCAGAAATCTCCATTGCCTTTGTGTCTGCTTAGAAAGCAGCTGCTGACACTTGTAATGAGTAGCCAGGTCTTTTAACAGCTGAAGCACCAAAGACTTGGTTTTGCCAAAATGTACAGAGTGTGTCTGAACTTAGATTCCTGAAAATCTGCCCAAACTGGCAAGACTGAGCATAGGGGTGGGGTGAAAAGGGAGGAGAGGTGGGAGGCAGGGAGCCTGGGGTAGGAGAGAGGTGTGGTTCCTGTGCGACCGCGTTCCTTGCTGCAGGCTGAACGCCAGCTCTGCGGTGGGGCTGGCCCTGGGGCGAGACCTTGAGCACACTGCTCGCCCAGGGACAGCCCTGCACACCACCAGTGGGGAAGAGCCACGCCGTGGGGCAGGCAGGTTAGGGAACCTGTTTGCTAAAGGCCTGTCCTGTGGTAGCAGTAACCCCATACTGGCTGCTAGGCACCATGTAGATCCTCCTGCACTTGGAGGGCGGGTGGGGGACACCTTCTTTACTGGGTGTCCCTCCATCAGGTCTGTCTGTTGGTAGCACATGCTTGAGGAGTGTCTTTCCCCAGTTCCATGAGGGGAAGGACCATTCCTTGTGCCTAGGGTACTGGCTGCCCAGTGCAGGTGCCGTCTCCTCTGTCCCACATGTTCCTCACCTCTTTGCCAAGCAGAGGACCTGGTGGTGGGGTCTGCACGGTGCCCGTCCTGCCGGACAGCTCTGCCTCAGCCTCCCCGGGTCGGGTCCCGCCCCATGCTGCCCCACCGAGGACACGCTGCCATGGTGAAGCAGCGCTGCGCAGGCACAGCTCTGCTTTGAGAGGTGGTGGGGATCCTCCTTGCCTGCAGGAGCCCAGCAGGTGATGTAACAAGTTTCCTGTTTATATCGCTCTGTTTTCTCTCCCCATGAGTTTTCTGACAAGTTAATGCATGCTGGCATTCTCCAGGCTTGGAAAAAACCTTTGGCAGGATGATGTGGGGGCAGAGCGCTCGGGGTTAATCCTGCCTGTGACTTGCGTTTCGAAGGGATGGTTTTGCTGGTGTTTCCATGGGCCCCAGGGCTGGTGAGCCCTTACCCTCGGCTGAGAGGCTCTGCAGGTGGCACGGTGTGGCCTGCCTGGTGCTGCTGGCTCCCAAGACCCACGGATCCAGGTCCTGCCATCAGCTGCCGGCGCTGCCCGCCTCCCACGCTGCCCAGGCCAGCGGGCAGGAGTGGGAAGGGGAGCGCGGGGTCACCCGGGATGGCTCTGCCTCCCTGGAGATGGGCTGGGTGCCTTGCTGCGTGGCTTCCCACAGAACCAGCTGGGCTGCTAGAGATTTGATGGGTTAGGATGGCAGAGTTGATCCTAAAAGGGTGCGTGGTGTGGGTTGGAATTTTGGTGTTTTTTTCACTAAGTCAGTGCTCGCCGTCCCTTCTTCCAGAGGGGTGGCAGTGCCAGCACGGGGGCCCTTCGGGTGTCTCAGCCAGCTGTGATTCAGGCAGTGAGTTAAAGAGGAGGTGATATCAACTGAATTGGTGTCCTTCCACCTCAACAGTTATCTGGTGGTGTTGTAAGCAGTGTAAAGTTCCTAAGGCTTACAGAGGTTGGATAAAGAGTGCATTCGACAGCAACTTGTACAGTTGCATCAATTCCACAGTTGCAGTCGGGTTCTATTGCTGCCTGTTGAGTTTTGAGCATCTTCAATGTGGGAACAAAGAAAACAAAACTGGCTAACACAAGAAAAACTGAAACATAGGACTCGATATTAGTTATCAGAGTGATTAAATCTGGTTGTAGCCCCTCAAACTGTTTCTAGCAAGGGCTGGAGTTCAAGCGAAGTGTCCCTATACGCCCACAGTTTTTCTAAGCAGTCTGTTTTCTCAATATCTTTTCACCAGGACTGACTTATCCATAGGAGAGGGAGATGCATGTGGATTTTATATATTCCTAAACTAGCATTTTAGGAAAGAGATGTATTGAAGGAATAATAAAGAAACAAAAAAATCCTACCAAAATCCTGGTTTAGAATTTTACTTTTTAAAAATTCTGCCTGTTTCTTTGCAAAACTTGAGCACAAAAGCTGTGTGTGTTGTACGAGGACTCGAGCTGAGCAGGGGCTTGTGAACAGCAGTTGCCAAATGGGAAATTGAGCAGCCAATGCACTTTGCTGATCAGACAATAAACGTGCTTTTCTCTCCTGCACTTGGGATAATTGGAGGGTCTTGTCAGCACATCTCCCTTTGCTTCCTGAGCCCTGTGCAGAGAATCTGCTCAACAAAACATGGGTGCAAACAGTGACAACCAATGTCAGCTCTTTGTTATCAGGCTGCTCTGGGGCCAAGGTCAACTCAGTTCTGTAAGATTAGACTTGGAGGAGCTGCACCGGGTGGTTTGTCCCCATCTGAGGGGCATTAGGCGGAAGTTCAGCTGTGCTGCTGCGTAGCTTTGGACCGTGCTATAGTCTCCAGTTGGGAGCCACGAGTTGGGTGTTAGTCTGATTCTTATTTCTGCTGCCCTGCTCCTTGTGTTTGCCTTCTTGTTTTTCTCTCTTATTTGACAATAAAACTTTGGGAGCTGAGGCTCTTACCAGCTGTGCCGTGCAGGTAATGAATACAGCACAGCCCTTTCCCTGGGTGCGGTGCTGCCTCGCACCCACTCCTGGAATCAGCTCGAAGGTGAGATCTTCTCCTGCCTTTCTCTGCCTGCATGTGCCTCTGTCTCCTGGGTGGAGGGCCCGGGGTCTGTTTCCTGTGCCCTTCATGTGGTGTGTGCCACTGCTGTGACTGGACACAGGGCTGCATTGGAGAGGGATGTTTGCAGGGTACGTCCTCACACCCGGCGCCGCTGCCGACGTCTGCAGGTGACCAGGGCTTTCCCCAGCTGCTGGAAGTAGTTTTTTGGCCTGGGAGCCAGAATTGCTCAATGGCTTTTCTGTGAAAATAATACTGAGACTGGGCAGTTTCTGTGCTTTGTCTACATGGACCCTCCTCACCTCTTGGCCCAGTGCTCCCTCACGTGCAGGGTGGTAATGAGAGCCTCGATATGCTGACTTTCCCAAACTATTGTTTGGAGATGGGAACCGAAGTTGCTGTTTCCTCATTAGAGTAGCCTCTGTCAGAGCATCTTTAATCAACGTACTCCCAGGAGACAGCGTTTCTAGAACTTCTTTTTATACCTCCTCTTGGAATTTCTTTGCACTGCACCTTGTGAAGAAACTAATGAGATGCTGTGAGAGTTTGGGCTACTGTTAATTAGAAAAGGTCTGAGGAAGAAGTACTGCGCATATATTAAGTTTATCTTGGCTCACATGTCTCCTCTCTTCCTCTGTCTCTTCTTTCCAGGTTGCACAAACAGCAGATGGCTTGGATGCTGACCTCTGGAAAGATGGCTTATTTAAATCCAAGGTCACACGATACCTGTGCTTCACCAGATCGTTTTCAAAAGAAAACGTAAGTCCGTTTGCCGAGTGTCTGCATGATTTGCATCTGTGCCTGGTATGCTCTTACCCATAAGATGATTCACTTTATGGAGCCAATTATAATTCAAGCCGACATTTCACTGAGTTGGGTGAGTCAGGAGGCAAACTGCAGTGGCTGGATATTAACATTTTGTCTGTGTTCTTCATGGAAATAAATAACGGGCAAAATCTGCAATAAAAGCAGCAGAAAAGGGAATGTTGCATTTCAGCAGCCCCCTCCCACTAGTGTGTCCTGCTGTAGCAGTGGGTGCTGCATGCTCAGGATCCTGATGAATTTCTGACTCCAGAGAACAGGATGCTGAGGGTGGGGTTGATGAAGGAAATGCCAGTTTCTGAATCCAGGGTCACAGATATTTTCTTGCAGGATTAGCTTTTCTTTCTTTGTTGTTTCTAGTGCTGATTCTTGAAAGCTTGACCACGTTGTGCGTATGCTACCATATTCTTTGTGATCTTCTAATATTGCTATTAATCATAAGTTAATTTCTGATTAGTGGCAGTTGTCTGCTCACATCTTCCTTGGAGGAGAGGAGGTGTGCAGTGAGAGCCTGATGCCTTCTACTTTGTTCTTGGTTGATGCTAGTGTGAAAACTTCCTCTTTTCTGGAGGAACTATTTAATTCTACAATGAATGCACTCCATCTAGTGGGTAATCCTGCTTTTTGTCGTGTTTTGGATATTCAGTGACTCAGTTGTCAGGGTATGAAGCTACCATTTTGTCCTCGTGCTTTCACCAGCGCCGGGAGCAGAAAAACGACTGCGACTTCAGAGGCTGATCACGGGACCTGACAGGAAAGCCAGGGGCTGCCAATTTCCAGCATTTGACCTTTATTCCGTCTGCTTCCCTGCCTGCCTCTAGATTAAAATAAAGCTCCAGAGCTATGGGAAATATCGCTTCCTGGGGTGGATGGACAATAATTGTGCTTTTCGTCCTGGACTACCTGCAGTAGCAGGAATAATAGCCCCAGAATAGGCAGGGAGGGTATTAAACAGAAAGATTTGTGATGATTTGAGTATTAAATTTATCTGTGGCTACCTGAAATGTGAGGTTGTCAGAAATAATTACAGGATAGTAGCAACTGCTGGCTACCAGAGACGGTGTAAATACCCTCAGTCGCTGCCTGTTGGGCTTTTGGCATGAATCCGCTCGGCACGGTTTGGGAATATGTTCCTCATATTGATGAGGAGTTGAATTCAAGGGAGGCGGGGGGGAGGGCTGCCTGTCCCAGCCTGGTCTCTGAGGTGCAGCATGAGTCACAGTGTCCCACACAGGGGTTGTTTTGACCCCTGTGTCGGTGGCATCTCAGACCCGTGGGTGCTCCTGGCAGGGCAGCCCGTGTTCGGGTGCTGACCTGGAGCCCCTGCTCGTGTGGTTCACTGTGGCTGTACCAACTCTTTGGGTTGGAAGTTTTACTGCTGAGGGGTTTTTTTGTCTTTAACAAAACCCTGGGAACTGTTTGTCCTGAAGAACACGTCGTAGTTATCAGAGTTAATGCACTTCAGATAGCTGGTTTATAATGGAGTCAGTCTGTAGTGTCTCTTTATCAGTGTTGTCATTCTCAACAGCTTACAATATCTGACAGATTACAAGGACGTTGCTGGTACTCGAGTGTCATGGTGAGGAGGCCCCAAATGGTGCATCTCTCAAACGGGGAGGCTTTGTGCCCTTTTCTTCTGAGTTCCTGGCAGAGCATCAGTGCTGACTCCCCGCGTTTCAGCAGCTAACGAACTTACCAGAGGCATCTCTCCTACCTGTCGGCTGTTGATGGAGGAGTGACTGTTGGTTCAGCTGCAGGTTGCATGCTGATGTGACACAGCCAGACAGGTTGGATAAATAAAGCATGAAAGCTGATTCGGCAGCGACCACTTCATCTGCCTTTTGCTGTGCCAGGACCATGGTGACTGATCCACTCGGGCTGTGCAGCATCCGGCATCGCTTGCTCCGAGGTGCCGCGGCGAAAGGCGGGATGGAGGCACGTGGGGGCTGGCCAGCCTCAGCCGCTTTGCGTGAGCACAGGATGTGTGCCATGCCTGTGTGTGGTGGGACAGGGCTGCAGGTGTGGCTGCCCTCCTTGTGAGGAGCTGACCATGAGATGCAGAACCTCCAAAAAATAATCTCAGACCTGATCTCTTCTTATTTCAGAGGCTGCAAATTTAAATAAGTTTTAAAATACTTCAGTGTAATAATCAAAGAGTAGAGGTTTGCCTGAAATACTCTGTCAGATAAAAACTAAAGGAGGTACTTAGCAACCAGTAACAGTAAAACCCACTGACATGATTTGATGGCTTAGGATGAAATTTTAATTGTTCTGTATTGCATCTCTGTTTGTAAAGGCTGTGCAGTAACTAAAGTGTGTTTTTCTTCCATACGTGAATCCAGATTATTGGCAGCAGTGCTGGCTTTAATGAGAACTGCAAAGAAAATCTGGTCTCTAAACAATTGTGGAGGCTGTCATTCTGAATTGTGTTTTGAGCTCTTCAAGGTTTGATTAATAGGACGAGGCATCAGTTCAGAATTCATATGGACTCCAAATGAAGTTCTTCGTTCCAAATGGCCTGCTCTTCTGGAGCGTGCCTGCCTTTGGAGCTAGAACCATGTCTATTCAGTACTAATTAGCTAATGCATGTAATAACTTTGGCTGTGTCTGTGTGAACCATCTTCCTGTAATGCTTTCTGCTGTGACTGTCACAGAAATGTCGCGTTGCTGTTGTAGATGGAGTGTGTGAGAACTGAGGCGACTCGCTTAGCGGATGAGATGGTAGCGGTAGTACTTTGAACTGCCATGTTCCCAAGGGGAAGGATTTGGTTGTGCTTCCGAGGATCCAGAAATATAGCAGTAGATGGAGTGTAAGAATCTGTAAATGCTGAAAGTTGTCCGATCTCTCCTAGTCAATCATCGTGTAGTTTCTGCAGAGGGGACAGGGCAAGTGTCGGCTTGGTACCTCCTTACCATTTCAAAGTTGGTGGTCAGATACTTCAGCAGGTGAGAAAAGCCGAGTTTGAATTTGGTGACATTGTCATAGTCAACTGTTTTATTTTCTCTTTCTCTCCAAAGAGTCATTTAGGCAACGTCTTGGTTGATATGAAGCTTATTGACATCAAAGACACTCTACCCGTGGGCTTCATCCCCATCCAGGAGACCATCGATACGCGTAAGTTGGCGTCTGTTCTTCAGTCCTGTGCCTTGGGAGCAGCTGCTCTGCCAGTGCTTGTGTGGGGGGTGGTGGAGGGCTGTGTCCCAGACAGAGGGACACTCAGCACTGCTGCTCTCTGGGGTTACGTCGCATGTTTGGGGGCAACTCTGGACTGCAAGGAAACTGCCTTCGGTTTTCCTGTTCTCTTTAAGGCTTTTTAATGCTGCTCCCTTACCGTCACCAGCTCGCCTGCTAGTGCAGCACAGCTCTGGGGTGGGAAGGAATAGTTTATTCTTTCATTTTGCAAGGGTGGACTGGGCCTAGCAGGAGCAGAGCTGCTGTGCTGGGGCATGTTCACAAGTGGATACTGAAAGGAAGGGCAGGTGCTCTTGGTGCTGGGTTCATGCACGCTGGCTTTACACCTCCCTCCGTGAACAAGCGAAGGCCCGTGTCCTGGCAGGTGGTGCTGAGGATGGTGGGTTATGTTTGCACTTGCTGAGAGAAGACAGAAGTGGAACGTCCAGGGAAAATACCGTCCTCATTTCTGCGAGGCAGAACTGGCTTTGCTGCAGCGTTTAAGCCAGTAGTTCCCAAAGAGATCCCCGGAGACGCGTGCGGCAGCAGCTGGAGCCGCGTCTGGCCGCAGCGCTCTGCAGCAGCATCGAGCGCTTTGGGCTCGCAGCGTGGAGGAGGAGGAGGGTGGGGACAGGTCCCACGGGAGCCGAGCGTGGAAGGGCTGCAGGACACCGTGCGCTGGTGCTGAGTGTGCAGCTGCTGCTCAGGAGCAGGGCTGGTATCAGTGCTCAGCAGTAATGAAATCCAGCCGAGCTGTGAGTAGAAAGGAGTTCCACGAGCCTGCTTTGCAGGGAATAATTCATCCGAGTCTGCAGCAGATGAGGATGGTTTTTCAGTCACTACCGACCTGGTTCCAATTTGAACCCCTCACCTAGAAGTGAAAGGCTCTGCAGCCCATTTCCCATTCCCCTGGGTCACCCCCTTTCCCTGCAGAATCCCTGGACACATGCGGCGCAGGGGAGAGTCATCGGCTTGTCCTGCTCACCCTTGGGAGTGCTGGACACTTACTATGTGCTGCTGTAATTTTTATCAAAATCTTGGTGCAAAAGTGGAAGGGGACTTCATAATGAATTTAAAATGCGTTGGATTGCAACTCATACAATCTTTAAAGCAGAGGCACTGTCTGTAGTAATGAAGTGGTGCATATCCCTGCCTCCATTAGCATAAATGAACACATTTCGATTGACTGTTTATAATATGTTTACTTAAAATTAACTCTGGTTAAGCATGTGTAATTAATGAATCCAGCCTCTAAACCAAGTGTGCAGACTGCAGACTTTAGCCAAGTGTGAAAGAGACCAAAGACGAAAGCAAATAGTCAGCTTTGTACTTACTGTGAAAGTCAAATAAGAGGCACTGATTTGATTAAGAGTTAAATTTGGGGTTATACGTGTTTCTGTGCTCTTCTCTAAATGGTAGTTGACTTTTAGTAAATACATTAAATTCAGCACTCCTTACTAGGTTCTGAGGAAATTTTCAGATGTGGAAGCCTTAAACCCTGGGCTCCTAAAATCAGTTTTAGGCACTTCAAATAAAAAGCTCTAGTTTTCCAAAGCAGAAGACTCCAGGGTTGCAGGTATTTAACATCTCTGAAAAGCAGCACTGTAGCTGCAGAGCTGCACGCACAGATGCTGTATTGTGACACACCTCGTAGTGTCTGTACGTTTATTGGTGCTGGTGTGACAGCGAATTTCAGAGGCCAGGATGGATTGCTTTCTCCAAGGTGCGGGTTACGAAACAGGAGGAGCCTATAGAGACAGGGCTGCTTGCCATCTGTTGGAGCGAGAGCATATTTTTAAGCTGGAGGATATTTATTCATATTAAACTGAAGGGTTTTTATTTTGCAGGCACTTGTTTGTAGTTGTTGGTTGTTTCCAGATTTTCATTTGGTGTCTGCACTTTAGATTTTCAGTTTATCAATAGACGTCTGTCATGTCTTTCAAGTGCCTGAGCTCACAAACAGAAACCTCACCTTGTTCGCGTCGAGTCCCTCGCAGACTCTTTTGGATGAGACAGAGCAATGGTTTCCAAGCACTGCAGACCTGTACGTGTGCCAGTACCACCCGTTGTCGTGCAACTGACCCGTAGCTGGACGTGGATTGTATCTGCGTGCAGACAGACAGTGTGCATTCATTATGGGATGTATGGATGCATCAGGGGAGGCCATTAACACTTAGAACGGGTGAGGTTTGGGCAGACAGCTTTTCCTGTTAGCCACTCTGCATGGCAGTCTGTTTTTCTACCTGCTTCTCCTCTCGGTTTGGTTGGCCGTTTGGAAGCACTTGGCAGAACAAACTGACCAGTTGTGTCAGCAGCTTCCAGGTGTGTTCCTAGAGGCAGTGCCTGTGGGAGGAGTATTTATCTATGGCCATCCAGGTCAGCGAGGCAAACGTTACCTTGGAAAGAGAAAGCGAATGTGAGAAGTACGTGGGAATGGAAAAATCATCTGCCACTTCTGTGGTACAGTACTCTGTGGCACACATGATGTCTTACCTTCTCTGCAGAGCATGGCAGGGAGCTTTGGTTTGGTGCAGTGCCTAATAACAAATCCCACATGGTGCACAGAGAACTCCTGATAGAAAATTTCTCTGGTCGCTGAATGGCACTGCACTGTCTGGTTTGCTGACATATATCTGTTCTTTGGCTCCAGTTCCTGCCATGATTATGTGTCAAATATCTGGAGAAACAATAAATAACATTTATACCCTAGTCTTGCATAAAACCCCACCCTGTGTCCTGGTTGTTTTTGCAGAAGAAGTAGCTTTCAGAAAGAAGAGACTGTGCATTAAATTCATCCCTCGAGATTCTACAGAGGCAGCGATCTGTGATATCCGAATCCTGGGTAGATCTAAACAAGCCCCTCCTCAGTACACGTTCATAGGGTAAGTACCCCTCACTCCAGGAGCTGTTGTCATAAATTCCCTTGTACCAAGGCTAAAGCACCCTGTTCTCCTGTAATTACTGAGGAGTAGTTTGTAAATGCTGAAGCTTAGAAAAGTCATTAGAAAAGTCTACGTAAGTACAAGTGTTACTGAGTTTGATGTGGGAATTAACTAACCCCCTTTTATTTTTTCCCCAATTAGACTGGTTCTCGCTAACCAGGGTGTTGACAGTGCTTGATACTTGTGCATGTATGTGCAGTGTTTGCCTGTAGCATTGATGTCTTCTGTGTTGGTTACACAGGGAGTTGAACAACATGGGCATTTGGTACCGGATGGGCAGAGTTCCCCGCAACCATGAATCTTCACAGCCTGCCACTCCTCCTTCCCAAGTACCATCTTCGACACCAGCTCCTAACCTGCCAAGGTGGGTGTTCTGCTTTCCAGCCCCTACTGCTTGGTGCTGTGTGGTGTATTGTTGCTAACCTTGCCTGGTGGAATAGAGACCAGGGTACACATCAGTATGAATGGTTACGTGGCATGATCTGATAATGGGGGAATGTGTCGTTCTTTCAGGTATTTGCCTACTGAAAGTTCCCTTGGCTGTCAGGTAGAGACATGCAGGTGAACAAGTCAGAAAAAAGAAGAAGCAAGCAGAGGAAGGGAAACAGCAAACTACACCTTTGCTTTACTTTAAACTGTGTGGGATGTGGTAGCTTCCAGCAAGTGGGGGTGGGCCAGAACTGTAGCCAAACTGATTTCTCTCCTTGACCGACGGGAGGGAGGAGCGTTCATACAGATTTTAATGCAGAGAGGGACAAGTTTTGCTCGTTCTCCAAAATCAGTCTGCTCATGGTTTGAAGTGCTGGCCCCATTTTTCCTTTTCTTGGACCTGACTGCCATGCTCCAGTCTTGCAGCTGACGTTGAGCATGCAGAGCAGACTGCTTGTCCTGCAGTGACTGACAGGAGCAGCACTTCTGGGCAGATGCTGGTGTGGGTGGTGTCTGTGCAGGTTGTTTTCCCCGTGTTTTAGACAATATTTTTATGCACTTGTGTGTATACTTGCATATAACAGTAGTCCTGTGTTGACAGCTTACTCGCTGGATTTCTCTGGACAAAACAGAGTGTTGTTAAGCAACAAACCAGCCCAGACAGAGGTTAAACTGAGCGCTTTGTACACTGGATGCACACACAGCATCCAGTGTGAGACAGGCTCCTATTGATGGGGCTCGTTGACTGAACTCTGGGCCAGGCTATTGCCAGGGCACAGCACAGTCTCTACGGGGCCCTCTGGGCTTTTGCTTGATTAAGCAAACACGTATTTTTGCACTAGGCATTTGGTATATTGGCACTGCAGATGTGTTTACAGTATTACAATAACCATTGTGAGCTAGAATTTCGAAGGAAGCAGCAGGGCAGAATTCCAGGGGGATCGGTTTGTGTGCAAAGGTCACTGTCACAGGGGTGGAAAATACTCGTGTCCTTCAGAGTCTGGATTTCCAGGTTATTTCAGAGTGACGCTTTTAAACTGCTGTAAACTGTACCCAAAAAAAGCTATTGGGTATCTTTTTAAGGCAGGTGTGTACATTTGAGCCTCCACCTGTAACCCAGACCTAAATCTGCTGTCTTGTGGTGGCTCTTGGAGCTCTCCAAAGCATTTTGGCATTTCTTTCACTGAGAGTTTTGCTCGGTTGCCTGCCGTGCCGTGGCACGCTGCTTGCTGTCCCGTACTGTCAGGTGTGCTGCAGGCAGAGATGCTGTCTTGCTTCTCAAAGAGAGATGGAGGCAAAAGAGATGAAAACCCAGCAGTCTTCTGGAGATTTCAGCCTGTTCCACCGGGAGCTGCTACGTTGTTTTGAAGCTCCACTGGACATAAGCTACACGCCAGCACAGGCCGTGTGAGATCAGAGAAAAAGATGTCTTGATTTCAGAGCACAGGTCATCATTTCCTGTCTGCAAGAAAATTCTGTCTGGACAGATTTCCACAATAAAGAGAAAAAATTATCATAGCAAGAGAATGTCAATGGCAGTCCTTAATCACTAAGTGTGGAAGGGTCACTTTATGGCCAGGCAGGGAAGGCTGCAGAGCAGCGTCAGAGCTATTGGGAACAAGGCCAAAATTAGAGCTCAGAGCATCAGCGACAGTCTGAAAAGAAGTGTTTACAAGGCTTATATATTTTATAACCTCTTGTTGTACAGTTTATGGTTTACAATGGCTGCAAGGAAATTGGATCAGTTTTGTTTTACTTGCCAAATAAAGCAAATGTCAAAATAGTCAATATAAAATGTATTCTAATTTGGCTGAGTTAAAACAGCCAGTATGCAGTGGAATAATTGAATGTTACATTAATGCCTCCTAGTAAAAACCACCTGTCTGTAGCCAGCTCTGCTCTCGTGCCCTGTGTGTGATTTACAGGTAACTTTTACACCACCAGCCTGATCATTCAAAGCATCTTTCATGTCTGTTTTTTTTCTTTTTTTACTCTGATTATTTATTATGCAATATATTTTTTAAGAAATAGAAATGTATATAAAGGTACATCCTGCAAGTATTTCATTATTATGGGGAACACATACTACTTGAAAGCCTTCTCTAATACTTTATCAGCTATGTGGTAAGTTAGTCAACACTTAATGTTTGTGGAAGATTGTAGGCACAAGTAACCTCTTATTTTTACGTCACCATAGAGAGATGAGATTACTGTGGTAGCCAGTTTGCTGTTTTATTCCATGTGGATATATCCTGACAGGGACAGCAGTGAGTTATTCTGGTGCTGCAGTGAGTACTAAGAGAAAATTGGCCAGCGGTGCCAAATGGAGAGCACTGTGGAGATTCTGCTGTTGGGCTGGTCAGATATTTAAGCTGTTCTCTTCAGTTGCTGGCTAGCATTATAAAATAATTTTAAATCAAGAGGGTGTGCTTGGGTGCTTGAGAACAATTGCTAACACTGGGTATAAACTAAACCAGTAAAACACAACAGTGAGCTTCTGCACAGTGAAACCTCCCTAAATGGAAAGACTTTTTACTGTGGGAGACGTTTCTTTCTGCACCAGCTGTGTTTCCTCCTCTGATCCACGGTGTAAGTTACTGATGGCAGTGGATGGCGGCACATCAGAGTGTTGTCATGTGTCAGAGGTTTGACCTCTACAGCTTGCTGCACGTCAGCAGTGCTGCTTCCGCCGCTCGTGTCGCGGGGTTACAGCTCGCAGTCAGAACTGCACAAGGGGAGGCTTTGTTTGATAGTCGTGCTGGACTGCATGTGTTATTTTTTTCAGCCATTTCTTCTCCTTGGTGTTTCCTACTGCAGGCATCTGGCTTAATGGTCTCTAACGGCAGCCCTCGCGCATCCCAGCGCGGGTGCCATGCTGTGCCGTGGAGCACAACCGTGCCATTGTGCAAAGCATCAAGCTGCTTTACTGTCTTTTTTCTCTCCAAATTCTGCGACAGCTTCTTGGCACTAATGGCAGCCTGGAGAAATGCACTTGCAGTTTTCCCTCCTAGAAGGCTGCTACTAAAGAACTGCTTTTGTTGACTTGAGTCACCGGTGGGAGTTTAACGTGACTTTCCTCGGTACCTCTGCTCTGTGTTCAAGGCTCACGCTCTGGTGCTGCGTGGTGACATCGCTTTGGGGAATAAGAAGGTGATCCTCCCCTCAGAGAGCTGCCAGGAACAGGAAACTCATCTGGCCCTTGCGTGCTTTTGCCTCACCCAGCCTGTGGGTTGGCCATTGCCAGTGCACGGGCTGGGGACTTGGAGAAGAGTCACAAGCACGTCACGAGCGTTTGAGCAGCGTCTTGGGGCTCAGCCCCACTGTGCCCCAAGCTCTCTTGGAGTAGGCTAGAGCAGGATCTGTGTGTGACGTTCTCTTTGAGTCCAGTTCCAGCCTTTTGGGAGCAAGTCCCTGACTTCTGTGAACGTGAGCAGGGCCAGCCTCGAACCGTTGCCTTGTGGCTGCCTCTGCGGTGGCTCCCGTCGCAGCCGCGGTGCTTTGTGAGCCCGTGAGGTTTCTGTGGCTCTGGGGAGTGTGTTTCGCATCCCTTCCCGAGGTGCTACGGGAGCCTCTGCCACCGTCATCCCAACAGCCCTCTCACAATTTGTCAGCTGCGAGCAAGATGTCAGTCAGTGCTGCTGAACTGTGTTTTACAGTGACAGACATAATTGCGCTTAACTTTTTGCGTGGATGTTATCAATCTGTGACAGATACTTTGGGAAATGGAGCACTTTGATTGCACATGATGTGTCACAGGAGTTTAATCTTCCTCTCAGAGAGACCGGGATTCAGTCACAACTTTTACTTGTTGATGTCAGGTTTTGAAAATGTAGATTTGCGCTGACCCTGGGAATCGTTCAGTCAGTCAGTTTGCAGGGCTGTCATCCGAAAGGTTAATGGTTTACCAGGAGAAGGAAGATCTGGCTGCGATCCCACCTAGACACCTTCCTGTGTAATTTCGTTTAGGTTCCTGCTCCAGCAGGGGGATTGGACTAGATGATCTTTTGAGGTCCCTTCCAATCCCTAATATTCTGTGATTCTGTGATTCTGTGATCCACTTGTACTCTTACCGTGTGTTAGCGTGGCTGGGTGCTCGGCGTTTCAGTTCAGAAGGGCAGAACTCCTCTGACTGCCTTCCTGGGGTGCCTGTGGCACTTCTCCACGGCTCTTCTGACTGAGAACCACAGAGGTGGAGCAGGGGAGAGGCCAGGCCAGTCCTGGAATGTTGGGTAAGCCTGAGCTGCAGGTCTCGGTGGGGCTTTCTGTGCCCACTGCTGTCAGAGGGGCAGAGCCACGGGTCGGTCGCTCATGCTCTGGACTGACCAGAACAGTATGGGGGTGAGCAAAGTGTGGGCCCTGAGTGCCACACCTCCGAGTGTACCTGGTGACCAGGAGAGGTGGCAGGGCTGGTGGGACACCTGGCTGGGAGAGCTGTGGTTCAGGAGGGAGTTGCCATCCTGGTAGGGTGGCACTGGGGAACACAGGGAGGTTCGGTTGGATTTCTCACACACGGGGCTCCTGGTGCAGCCAGGCATGAGCTGTCGTGGGGACCAGCAGAAGGAGGCACCAGGTTGCAGAGCCAGATGGAGAGAGCATGGCCACCAGTGAGGTGCCAGCCCTGTCAGCATCACCAGCGTGGCCACAGGGCCCCGTGCTGGTCCATCCTGGGGGAGGCTGTGGTCACTCTGGGCTCTGCCCCAGCCCCGGAGCGATGCCCAGGGATGGAGCAGCGTGTGCATCTCCCTGCTGCCCACCTCATCCCCGGGCACCGGGGCTTCTGTGTGCCCTGCCACAGCCAGGGCCCCAGCACACGGCTGCTGTGCTTGTACCTCTCCGTGGTTACTAAGCTGCAGAAGCTGCTCACTTGTGCCCCAGGTCCCAGCCCCCCAGCTGTGGGTCTGCAGTGGGGCTGGCAGCCGTCCCTCTCCACGCTCC